ACATTCACAATCTCATCGCAGTGATACTTAGAAGCATATATAGTGATAAATTACATTTGATATTTCAGATATACCGGGTAATGCATCCAATTTATGTACAGTGTGCTTTTAACTTGAACGGATAAATTTTTTTGCGATGATACATTCCTTTCTTTCACCTGCAGAATGACTTGTAAAATATAGTTTTCATAGACTAATAAAAATATTAAAGGCAACGATGTCTTTTTTTGTGGTGATATATTTCTTTTTATTCCAAGCAGAGTGACTGCTGTGAAGCACAATCTTCACAGATTGAAAAACCAATTTTAAAGGCAACGATGTCTAAAAGCGTGATTTGCTTCCTGATATTGATGAAACTTTTTTACCGTAAAGATTTAACTTTTGTATTTAGTTAGTTAGTTCAATATCTATTTTCTCTTTTCCTAGACACAGGAAAATGCTTATAGCACAAACAAATGATGAGACAGTGCACATAGCTTAAATGATAAGGGAAGAAAAAAAATGACAATTCGATCGATGATCGTTCTCCGGTTCCTTTGCTTTGGGATATTGACACCTTGATGTTAGCGCGCCACAAATTAAACAGCAGAAGGCGTTTAATTGTAAATGTCAAATGACAGAGTAAGTGCAGATAAAGCAAACGGATATTTTGCTGATTAATTTGCTAAAAGTGAAAAAAGGCCATTTAATACAAATAATAAAACTGAAACTGTAGCAGGTCAATACACCGCGTTCGTAGTTTGTTTAAATTTAAGTATCCGTTGGTCGAATATCGACTTTTACTTTATTAGCGTTACAAAAGCACGACAATGGAAGTCAAAATTTGCAGGCAACACACTTCTCATCTGTTTCAGATCTAGAGCCCTGTCGGTCTCGCTTGCTACTGATAAAAACTGCTGCCCAATATCAAAGACCAGATTGTCACCTAGGAATAACAGTAGAACAACTTTACAAATATCAAGACAGCGAGTCAAAACGATTCACCAACAATAAATTTCAGTCCACTAATTCAAGTGTCAGACAAAAGAAGTTACGTAAGAATCACAAGTCGAACAATGGCTCAAGCGGCAAGATTCCTGGTCATCATTCTGTGTGTGAATGTGGTGACAGTAACAGCCAACGAGATGGGTAATTACTGGTTTTTGTTCTATATATTAAGGTTAATAAGTCGGTAAAGGACCGAGTTTTTAAACAGGATGATTATGATAAGTTAATTTTTCAAATGTTATAGTCAATAATCAAATCATTTCCTAATGGAATTCAGATGTGAAAATTGGCTCCTCGTTTGTTTTCTAAAAGACATTATTTAAGTTTTGACTTTTAAATTATGTAAGTGCCATACAATAATTTTGTAACGGACTACTAGCGCACCCTGTGGGCAGACAGTACTAAGAATTCTCTTTACACACTGTAAAGGGAAGGAGGGGGCAATGGGTTGGAGAAAAGAGCATGGGGGAAGGAGCGGGCGTTGGGTTGGATCTTGGACATAACAAGAGAAGGCCTTTCCTTTTTATGTCCAAGGTTGGATGGAAGGGCCTGAGGAAGGGGAAGGACGATGGGCTACAGGTCGTAGCCTGGACGTTCATTGTTTGTTTATCACCGCAGTGGGAGGTGGAGAAGGCAGTGCACGTACCTGTTATTGTACCTTCAGGTAACCGAGAATCCGATTACTACAACTGGATGGACGAAATTGCCCAGGCAGCCTGTACCGGTGTTATGACCGTAGATGGGACAGTGTACGCCGTGCGCAGATACTGTGTTGCTTCAGGCCAGCCGATTTGTTCCACCGTATGCACCAACCAGGGGTATAACGCTTGTTATCTCTTAGAACTGTAGGGAGTTGGGATACGGTAAATGGTAGTTATCAAATTTTAGTGAAACAGCACTAAACCTGTACACCAGTGATACATTAAAATCGACTACTACCTTTTTAACACCTTTTTAGTGTAAAATTGAGTTTTAAATAACAACTCAGTATGCAAAAACGAAGTTACAGGTCTAGATAATCATTAGTTGAGAATGTTTTCTGAAAGATGTACACAGCTCAAGCCAATCACTGTATCTCAACTCCCTTATAAATTACTTCAAATCGATATAACTCGTAATCGCTGTTTAAATTTGAGTAGGTTCTCATGAAATGATTAGCAGGTCCATACAGAAATCTCCAGTTGCGACAATTTTAGTTTTCCAATTTTTGCTAAAAAGTACTACTGGTACTACTGCTTATTTCTTTTTAAAGATAAATCATCTATATTCGTAATCTTAAAATGTAATTTAAGAATAGAATCTTATCTCCTTTTCTGTTCAGTTTGACATGCTTTGAGGCGCTTCATGTTTACCCTAATCAACCAAGGCTGTCGGAAACCCACGGAGAAGCTGTAGGGGAGGTAGGACCCTGGGTACACAGATATGGCAGCTGCGGTAGTACTCATTGTGGACCAAACTACTGCTGCTGTCGTGGATAAAGGCGCTGTAGCCATTTCCCCCCTTCAAATACAAAAAAATTGACGTAATTTTATTGACCATGTCACAGCTCAGACATTAAAGTTGTACTGCCACTTGCGAAAACAAACCCAATATAGAGGTGCATTTCACAAATCGAAGTCTCAAATAAATCAATAAATAAATAAAATTGAATGAATTCGAATTTGTATTCAATTTTTAAAACACAGTATACAACAAAAATCCACGGTTGTCTCAATTTTACATCAACATAAGATTTTAACACGGTTTATATTATTATGTAAGGGCCAAGTAGCACTGATATTTCAGTAATGTATGTTACGGGAGATAATTTTTACTTTTGTATCGTGTTTCAATATACATGTATGTTGCATTGATTCAGTCATGGTAAATTATGGTTAACAAAAGGAAATCTTTATAAATATGTAAACTGCAACCCAGGGTACTTTGCGTCATGGTTAAAACGTACGTAACGTATGTTTCCCAGAAAAATGTCCGAAAAAAATTATTTTTGTCCAAGCACTTAGTGCAATAAGTTACAGTTTTCGACTGAATGGTATACAATACTTTTTGTATAGTTTGAAATATTATTTTTTTTGACATGGTTTTGTTGCGCCACGAATAAAAATAGTTCATTTAATACTTCTTTTATTGTCAGCATGATGCCTTTTTTGTAATATTCAGTGACTAAAATAGCGCAAAAATTAATCGTTCTATACAGAAGATTGTCATGTATATCACAACGTTGTACTTGTAGGAAATAAATTAAAGAACACAACCAGCGCTGATCGAAATTTTAAAGTGAGTAAAACGCTTCCGCAGCTGAAAGTTTTTGATTTGTGACAGTAACTTTGGTACGAACTTCTTCATGAAGGAACCTGAAAGTTTTGAACATAGTTTCTCATCTGTCCGCTAAATGTGAAAATTCAATACCATCGTCGCACTGGGATAAACATATACCTATGAATGTTTTTCTTCGTGTTGAGATGTATCATCTTAAACTGTTTTAACTTTGTGCTGTGATCCAATGGTTGTGTACCTTACGCTTATAAACTTACTGTCAGACTTTTCAACACAATAAAGGCTCATCGGAAAGGGAATTTGGTGTTTCGGATATACTGGGTAATGCATCGAATACAAGTGTTGTACATGTATACTTAAACTTTAATAAATAAATCTTGTCACTTTTTTGCGATGATACATTCCTTTTTCTCACCAGCAGAATGGCTGTTGTAAAATATAGTTTTCATAGAATAATAAAACATTAAAGGCAACGATGTCTTAAAAGCGTGGTTTGCTTCATGGCATCTATGAAACTGCTTACTGTTAAGATACAACTGTTGATTTAATTAGTTCAATATTTATTTTCTCTTTTCCTAGATAGGTTTTAGTTTTTAACACAAATGATTGATGAGAGAGTGTAAATAAGAGAAAATGGGATTTCGATCAGTCATAGTTTTCCGGTTACTTTGCTTAAGGCTATTGACCGCAGAAAGCATTTAACTGGAAATGTCGAATGGCAGAGTAAAGCAAACGGATATTTTTCCGATTAAAGTTGCTAAAAAAAAAGATCAATAGAAATAATAAAATTGAAACTGTAGCAGGTCAATACACAGTGTTCGTAGTTTGTTCAAATTTAAGAATGTTGACCGAATGTTGACACTTTCATTTCTTAATTGATCGTAACAAAAAATGGACAAGAGAAATAGAAATTTTGCTGAAAACGTGCTACGCAGCTTGGTGTGTCAGATTCTTAAGACCCTGTCTGTCTGAGTTACCATTTTACTGATAACAGCTGATGGGCTGGTGTTTTAATTTCCAAGACCAGTCTGGCAGACAGAGCACCCAGGGATAACAACAGAACGACTTCGAAAATCAAGACAAAACGATTCACCAACATTAAAGTTTCAGTTCACTAATTCAAGTGTCATACAGGAGAAGTTACGTAAGAATCACAAATCGAACGATGGCTCAAGCGGCGCGATTCCTGGTCATTATTCTCTGTGTATATCTGATGGCAGTCGCAGCCAACGAGATGGGTAATTATAGGTTTTTGTTCTATATAAATTTTATGGTCGTGGTTTTAAAACAATTTTTAGTATTCCTCCTGCATGTCTGATACTGCCACTTTACAGTGACTCAAAAATTGATTGCATGGCTTGTTACAAACTTTTATAAATGTATGGGTTTATATTTAGTTTAAGTGTTACAAAAGATATAGATACATTATGCAATTATAAGAAAGCGGTGCTGTGTGATTGTACCTTCAGGTAACCGAGAATCTGATTACTACAACTGGATGGATGAAATTGCCCAGGCAGCCTGTACCGGTATTATGCCTGTAGATGGGACAGTACACGCCGTGCGCAGATACTGTAATTCAGCTTATGCGGCTTGTTCCACCGCATGCACAGACCTAGGGTAAAACGCTGATTTACTTTTAACATTTTATGAATTACTTCAAATCGATATAACTCACACTCGCTGCCGTTTGAATTTGGGTAGGTTCTCGTGAAAATTGAAATAAAACGTAAGTAAAGGCAAAAATGTTCGGTGCGCCAAGTTAAGTTAAGTTTTCGAAGATTTGCGAAAATACTTCCACTGCCTAATTTTTTTAATATTAATTATTCAAATTTTTAATCTGTAAATGTAGCACGAGAATTATTATTCCTTCTATTCTCTTTAGTAAGACATGCTTTGAGACGCTTCATGTGTACCTCAATCGCCCGCGGCTATCATCAAACCATGACGAAGCTGTAGGGGTGACCGGTTCTCAAGTGCACAGATACGGCGGCGGCTGCGGAGGAGGGTGTGGGCCGAATTACTGCTGCTGCCGCGGATAAATATTCTGAATATCGTAGGCATTTCTTTCGTCAAATATTGAAGTTTTGGTGTTGATGTAATTTTACTCAGCTTTGAGATTGAAGTTGTACTGCCACTTGCGAACATTCTTTTCAAGGCCATTCTTTTACATGTGTTATTAGGAAAAAGCGAATAAAACTTGCCATTGTCATTTGCTTGAGTCGCGATGGATTCATCTTTAGGCTGTTTTAACTGATATTTGTGCTGTACGGGCGATCCCAAGGTTGCGTTATTTACGCTTGTAAACCTACTGACTGATTTCCAACATGAAACTTAAAAAGGCTCATTGGAAACGGAATCATCACATCTTTGAATGGGAATGACATGATTCAAACTTACAATTGTGATAGAAAATTGATGAATTCATAATGTGAGTTCTTTAATTTTGTGTAGAATGTTGTTCTGTCAGTGAAGATCTATCAGCTTGGATACCTATTGTTGTCGAGTGAGAATGAATTTATAACAAACTGCCCCATTAAATTGGTTCCGCGGTATAGCCATGTTGAACATCTAAATGTTATATCAAATTGTAAAGGCAAACAATTACTTACTGGATCATTGTTTTAACTGAAGTGCAATTTTGTTCACAGCGTTTCCGTATGTAAATGTTCTCATTACTTATTCTGACGAGGAAATAAGATAGCGACCAGAATCCGATTGGGGGTTTTATAGGGATATACCATTTATATAATTACCATTGTTAGTCAGATGAAATCGGAATGCTTGTCTCCTTGAATAAATGCATAATTAATCCAGTAATAAGTAGCTGTGCCTTATCTATGAAACCCTGATTATAGTGGAAGTTAATATGGGTACTGAGAACAGAGGTCAGCCTTAGAGGTCAACCTGGAAAATTACACCCCTTTCTTAATGCCTCCATCACCCAAATAACCTCCCTGAGCCGAGATTTAAGTGGCTTATAGCCAAGTCTCCACCCCCACCCCCACCCCCTGTGAAAACGCTTCCTTCTTCACCGGCTCATACAGTAACGACAGGTAAACATACGACTACTGAACCTGGGTTTAGTTTTTTTAATGTTTTAATGAAAAAGATATCGACCATCTTTGCTTTACAAATAAATTAGATGAAAATTTGAACAACACAGTCAGCTACATTTAACTACAAAATAATATAATACACTACTGTTTAATGATATTATGAAAGTAAAGCTTTATTTTTGGTCCTTTATGTACATAAGGCCTAAATTATAATAAAATAATAAAAATTAAAGATAAAACAAAGTCAATTATTAAAAATCAAGCACGGTACTTCTTGTGAATTCCAACAATAAATTATGTCGTCTCTTCGTTTTCCAGACTTAAAGCTCATACTAGGAAGAATTCTGAAAAAATACCGCAAAACCAGTCCTGCGTTAGCTTATTCTGTTTAGGTAGTGCTTCAAGGGCGACTTCCCCGCAGTTGACAGTATTGTACGATCATTCCCCAGTCGTCTCAATCCCCGCGTATGTTGACAGCGATTTATTTGCCTGTGCTTGCACCGGCCAAGCCATACTGTCCGTAGCTTGGGTATTTACCTAAATCAGAGAAATATTCAAACGTGATTACTGTGCCTGAACCAACCTCTAGTATTTAATAAGTACGTCTACTGAAGGTCTAAAACACTTGTATATGACGGGTTATTATGACCATTTTCAAAAATAGGCTAGGCAAATGCTACATTAAAGTAGAGAAGTAACGATAAATGTTTAACACATTTAAAAAAATTCTAGCTTTTAATCAAACAGTGTTTTGGGACATTTGAAATAAAGCAAGTAAGAAGGCTTAAGGATACCCATGCAGACCTTTAAAATTGACCTAATCAAAGCCATATAACGAAGTCCCACCCAAGCCATAAAAAAGGAGGCCTACTTACAGTCATCACCGTAATCGGTGGCCACGCGGACGGCTATCTTCTGTCCACCAGTAGAGCAGTCATCGCCGACGCCACTGGCAAAGTAGTAATAGCCTGGCGCTAGGTTACTGGTGTCTATGATCTCCTGGGTCTGGGAGCCATAAGTGTCCTCGGTCAGCTCGTCCTTGGAGCAGTATTTGTAGGCTCTGTATGAGATGAATTTGTTCACGTTGTGTCTGCCTGGAATGGTATAATGAACGGTTACATTAGCGCGACCCCTTTCGTTCACGGGCAACATCACACAGTGAGTCCGTATGACAATTAATTGATAAAAACAAACAGACATTTGCACCTGTGCATATGCTGTATATATTAGGTGTATGTACATGATAAGAAACTAGCAACAGCCAAATGCCATATTACTGCAAGACTGTATGAGCCACTAATATCTTTCTTAACAATCGTACGAATTTAACAAACGTAGTATATGACTTCTGTATATGATGCACGATAGTTGGCGTACAAGTTATAGGGAATCAGTGTTATATTACGTAAGTGGATTAAGTGGCGGGGTAAGTGTGTAGATCTGTGTAACTTACCTGGATACGGCCAGTTGAAGACAAGATATGTTCCTCTCTTCACACAGATGTTAGGGAAGGCTGGGCCAGTAGGAACTGCAAAAGTAAACACAATGCTTTTTAAAAAAGTAATGCTTCTGTTTTTAACATTACAGAGAAAAATGCCTTCTTTTCCAATTAACATAGACTTAAACTGGTAGTAAAAGGACATAAATGGCTTTGGTAATATCAGTTTTATGATTCAAACCGAATATATATATATATATATATATATATATATATATATATATATATATATATATTGTACTAAAATCTCCACGTTTTAGTATTAAAACCAATGACAGATTTTTTGTTTGGTTAAAATATTTACCATTGTATGAACCGTAGGTTGAGCCGTATGCGGGGCTTTGGCCGTACAGAGGAAGGCCGGTGACAACTCCGGAATTGGCTCCTTGGCCGTACAGAGGGCCAGTACCGTAAGATGGCGCGTAGGTCTGTCTCTTTTTTCTCAGAGACCTCCTCCTTCTCTTCTTCTTGCCGTACTGGTTCAAGGCGTTGCCGTACTGGTTGTTGAGTGGTCCCTGAGCAGACGTAGGTCCGTATTGGACATTACCCGCGGGAGCACCTGAATAAACACCAGTTTGAGGGGGGAGGTTAAAAGAGGCGCCCTGTGAAGGTAAGCCTTGGTACAGGCCGCCTTGATTTGGAAGGCCTTGGTATGCCCCTTGGTCTTGGTAGCCTCCGGTCTGTGTTGGGTCTTGATATACGGCACCTTGGTTTGAGCCGCCCTGAGTAGGTGCGCCTTGGTAAACGCCGCCTTGATTGGGTAAGCCTTGGTAAGTCCCCTGATCTTGGTAGCCTCCATTCTGTGTTGGGCCTAGAAAAACGCCATTTTGGTATGAGCCTTGGGCAGGTGCTCCTTGGTAAGCCCCGCCTTGATTGGGTAAGCCTTGGTAAGCCCCCTGATCTTGGTAGCCTCCATTCTGTGTTGGACCTAGAAAAACGCCATTTTGATAAGAACCTGGAGCAGGTGCGCCTTGGTAAGTTCCTCCGTTTTGTGGCGGGGCTTGGTTTGCACTGTTGCTGCCGTCTTGCCCAGCGTCTTGCCCAGCATTATAAAAACCAGGAACATCTTGAAAGAATGGGTCGGAAAAGGGATCTTCGTTGTTGTAAGTTGGTAAACCGGATGGGAATCCCTGTCCTGGTAATCCTGCGTTGAATCCTGGATCTTGCAGCCCTGCGTTGAACCCTGGCAATCCTGTGTCCTGTCCTACTGTGCCGTAAGTTGGATCCTGACCAGTAGCCTGGCCGTAAGCTGGGCCTGTGTTAGTTGAGCCTGGTTGGCCAAGGTTGGTATCTCCATACTGAGGCACAGTGCCGAACGCAGGTCCCGAGGGGCCGAACGTAGTTCCCGAGGGGCCGAACGTAGATCCCGAGGAGCCGTATGTAGGTCCTGAGGAGCCGTACGTAGGCCCTGAAGAGCCGTAAACGGGTGTTCTAGAAGCAACTGGAGCCTTACGTTCGCTAAACACCCTCCAGTCAATGATGACTACGTTTCCGACGTAAGTGACCTCCTGGTTTCCTAGCTGTATCGAAATAAGAACCAAACTTTGAAGGTAGGTAAAAAGAATGCGCTGTTTATAACACTGTCAAGCCTACTCTTATACCATACACATTTGTCCTAAACAAAATCTTTATTGGTAATTGTCTACAATTCTCAGCAAGAAAACATCCATGATTCTCTTACCTGCCAGACCTTGGCGTTGTAGTTGTTAGGTCCAGATGGGGTATAGTTAGGCCCGTCAGTGCGAGTAATACTGGCCTTGCCTACGTCACTGACAACGATGGTATCCTTGGCTGGGGTCTGGTCTGGGGTGGCCACGCCGATATTCGGGCCAAAGTTGAAGGAGCCTCCTAAGGTATTGGCTCCATACTGCATCGGTACTTGGCGTTTGTGCACGCTGTGTTCCTCGGCAACAGACGCACCCTGAGAGCTCACCAGAACGCTGGCAAGCAGCGCAGAACAAAATAGCTGGAATAAGGACGACCGCTGTTAAGACTGAGTGGTCAAATGTTTAAATCCACAAAAAAGTGTTTTGATGCAAATAATGGTTTACGGTTATAATACATTTTAAGTTAATAAAGCTAACTATAGTTTCAATCGTTTTTTTTTATCTTTATCAATCTTATTTAAGTTAGATTTATATTAAATAGATTTCCAATTTTAACGTTATGCATTATTTTTCCGCAGCATGTGAGACTATTTCTAACTTATCTCTGTATATTACTATTTTTGTCATAAAAACGTCTGAATACGATACAGTTGTAAAATACATTGTAGTAGAAATAACGGAACGCTAGCAAAAATCCGCCACCTGGGCCGAACCGACTTACCCAAACTTCGTTGATGTGTCAGAGGCAAAAAGAAACAGACTAATAGAAGATTAATGCTCTAAAAACGAGAAAGAAACATGATCTTTTCCAAAGAAGGAAAACGTTTGCCTACCTTCCACATGCCGTCGACTGCCCCTCTCTATTGCTGGTGTACGCACCCGGAGCTCCTCACTGAAAGTACTTGTAGTCTGGCTATCTTCGGCTCTAAATACCCATGGACCCTAAGCTCCTCCCTCCTGCATACTTTATACATTTCCTTCTTTGATTGTGATCACGGCAAGAGACAGACGCGGCCTTCTCACAGGTCACGACGCGGAGGGATAGCGGCAAATTATAGGGGATTAGTTCCGCGTATGCATCAACTTTCATTATCATTAATTTGAATTTTTAACTTTCTAGAGTTTATCTTCATTTGCATTCATAGATATCACAATGCTTAATGTAAACAGAAACAATATTTCATTAATCATGAAAGTGGATATGTAAGGATACGTTCACATATTTGGCCCAATTTCAAGGAAAATGCCCATTGCAAGCTTTCTCAACCATGGAATATTAAATGAAAGTAAAACCCTCCTGTTTTAATGTTTGTCTTTTAAATAGCAAGGATATTTTAAAACATAATTTAAGTGAGTTTCAATATGAAGTAATTATATATGGGTGGAATATATGGATTGAACATGCTAATTTTTTAGCTATTCAGTGTAAAATGGTGTAAAAAGTCATGGAAATGGCTAGGTTGACACTGAGGGATATGGGGAAAATACGATAACGTGGTCGGTACTTAGCAAAAAAAAAAAAAAAAAAAAAAAAAA